GTTCTAGGTTGCAAGTTCTGCCTCCACCAAACAGCTGACAAATGGCGAAACCAGAAAATTTTCTCCGTTCAGGGAGAAGTTGGTGAATTCAAACGTTTTAAATCGACATCGTGAAGAAGAAATTTTGTCACCGGAGATTAAAAGGAAAGGGGAGTACCCTGACTCTTCAAGGTAAGTCGAACCCAGTTAATCTTGAAGCGCTACTTTTCTGTCATATCGCCAAAGTCGTTGCTTTTGGGTGGTATTTAGCTATTCGATGGAAACAGTTTTGCGTGGTATGGCTACTGCTAGGTCATATCTTGTTTTCCAAAGGGGCTTTCCGTAATCTGATCTACTTTTAGTCTAAGGTCTTCGTTGGCAAATTTGTCGGTGGATGGCAGTGAAGATGGTCGTGTCTCACCTATGAACTCTTATTTGCAACGGTTCAAGTCTAAGGTAAGCTTATTATGGAACAGTTGGCTAGTGCTTTGCTTATTTCTAACATATAGGTGACAAGTGAAATTGCGTAATTTTTTAGTCTTCGCAATATCGTTCTTTCAACCTCAAGAAAACGACTGGAAAGAACCAAGAAATTTTGGATCGTCTGGCTAAAATTCGGTCGCTTCTTCCTCAGAATCATGTAACTGATAATGACCCTTTTAAAGCGACACATTTTAATAGAAGTCCTCGTCAATCTACAGTTGCAAAAACGGCTCAGAAGTCATCTAGTTCAGCTACAGCTGTTTGAGGTTATTTTAACAGTGAAGGTTTAGTTATTGGACTTAAAAATGATTCCGCTTCATTTTATTTCCTTGAGTTGTTTTAATAATTGAACAGGTGAATGGATGACGTTATCATTTTGATCTTTCTTCGTCTTGCCGCTTTTCTGCTATATATATGCACAGCGATCTGTTGTATGCTATTTGTTTCAATCACTTAAGTTGACTTTGGATTGTTTCCTTAAAGAGGTTATTGCAATAGAGGGTGACTTCTTAAATCTCTCTGGTCAGTTTTTTTCCTGGGAAGTATTTAGGTCATGTTAAAAAATTTGGGTTTTGAAAAATGTAACAGGACCGTTTGGGCATGTGCAACATGGATGCTCAAATGTGTTTTTGTTTTTTTGTTGTTTTTGCTTGAAATGTTTTAGGCTATTCTTTTTGTTAAACGGTTAGGTTTTTGATAGATCGCTCTCATTTCAGAGCGTACCCGGGTGATGTCAAAGAGTTCGACGAATTTTTTTCAGTTTCTTTGTTTTTATTGCTTTCGGGCATCTCATGAACGTTTGTATTTTTCCTCTGCTCCTCAGCACTATTATAGTTCCATTTGCAGCCAGTTTTGTCGCCAATTCTTTTAACTATCTTTTATGTTGTATTCGTCGAGTGATAGCGAAGTCTAGGCTTTTTTCTTCGCAAGCAAATTTCAGTTTGTTCCCGTTTACAGCATCTCATTTCTTTTGTTCCGTGTATTGTGCATTCTCTAGTAGATCTTTTTGGATTCTGTTTCTTTTCAATCTTCCCAAGAAGTCGCAGAAAAGCCGTATTGTATATGTTGTTGCTGCAATGCCACTCTGTGAAGATGTCTTTTTTTGTGTTGATGACTGTTTTACTTCTTTTTTTTTTTAATTGAAATTGGAGTTATTTCCCTACGTCGTCAGCGTACTTAATTACATCAAAATCTTTACAAATTATATTATTTGATTTTATATAAAGAACGTAGAATAGAGTTCTGTTTTCAAACGATATTCCATTTTATTTCTAAAGGGTGACACTGTTCACTCTCGGCTTTGAGCACTAAATTGTTGCGGTCATCACTCTATGTGCTGCTGTTTTGAGCTAGATGTACATTTTTAAAAATGGGTGTTGCCGTCTTTGTTTGAAGAATGATT